ATTGCTCTTTTCACTAAGACTTGTCTCTCATTAACCCTTTTTAAAAGGGTGACAACTAGTTAGAGATTAGAAAGGTCCATCTTCATTTGGTCAAAAGCCTCTCGACAAGACATTGACAATGTTATCAAAATCAATTAGGATGCACTGGACTTTATAGTTAAAGACCATTATTGAAATAACTAAGGCAACATTATGTAGGAATGTTATTCCCTTTATATTTACACTAGTGAAAGTGATGTCTCGTATCAAGGCATGAACTTCTTCATAATGGTAAGGAGTGGGAGAGTTGCCATTTTTTTCCTTTTTAGACTCTTTGGGCGATTGTCCATCCAAAATCATGTTGATTTAAAAGACTTCTTCTTCTTTGGGATTGTGACTAGCTTTGGCTCTGATTTGGCTTTGGCCATTCGATCTTAATGAACTATTTGAGGTATCCCCTACTATTAATCTTTTTATTTAAAAAAAAATAGCAACTCTCGCGTTTACGTCCAAGCATCCCGATGATAGAAGCGATACCTTATTTAGTTGTAAAGATACGGAGGGCTCTTCATCAAAATAGAGTGAATAACATATTCATCCCCTTATATGGCAACGAATACCCCTATTTAAGAGATATTTAGGGGAATTTTTTGGATTTTTCGAAGACTAGGCCATTGTACATAGGTCCTTTAGGATTCCTTTTTATAATATAGCGAGGTCGGAGGGGATTTTTTTGTTTTTATTTTCTCCGTCATTTTTAGAAGCACATGTGAGCTTATTGAGTGGAAATTTCTTTCTCTACTCAAATGTAGCCCTCTACCACTTTCTTAACTTGATAAAGGTTCTTATTGGGGAGGGTGTATATCTTCCTCTACACATTGGAGTCACCGACTCCAAGTATGAGGGTTTTGGTAGCTATGGGTTCTAACAACCTGCCAACCTTTAGTATTTTCTCATGAAAGAAAGAGAGATAAGCTAGAATGCTTTCCCTTTCTCTTTGAGAAATTGAGAATAGATCTTTAGAGCTTCTTTCAATAGAGATATTGCTTGGAGAAGCAAGCTACCAGCTTGGAACATAAATCTTCAAACAGAGGATCAACTCAAGATCTAATTTGTTGTACCATTTCCTTACCACTATCCAAAAAGTAGTGGGAAGTACTTTGCACATGGTGTCTAAAATCATTATGAATAGATTGAGTTTTCCCTAGATATTTTTAACATGCTCGAGTCATCATGCCACCATACAAGTCTAGGTTCATCTTGCCCATAGAAAACTTCCTAGGGAGTTTATGAAGGGCGAGTGATGATACTTAGAGCTTGTAGCTATAATGGTCCGACTCTAATTAAGTGATTACCATAGGTCATTTGTCCATCTAGTGATGTTTAGGGGACTCACTAAGTCGGTTTGGGTGAAAGAAGAATAATCTATATGCTAGTCTTTGTGCCTATTTTAGACAATGTTCGCCTCGCTCTTGCACCGTGACAACACGTAATTTTTTTCCTTCTCTCTTTCTTTTCAAAAGTCTTGATCGACCGATTCTTTTCCATATCGGTGATATAGCCTTTCTTAGGTTTTAGAGAATGACAACATTATTTTCTTTTTGCCTTTCTTTTACTCGTATTCGATTGTCCTTTCTTTAGCCAACTATTTAGGCGGTCTAATTGGTCCCAAAAGGTTTGCATGTGGTAGAAATTATGGTTGGGAGAACATCTCTAAAGGTAGTGCATATGGAGGCACTTGTTGTATCCGAGGCATCCGTAGTAGAGTAGCTAGAGATTTTATTTTCTCTTGTATTGATACATAGGCATCTATCAACAACTCAATACATTGTTAGAGTTAGAGTACGTCTATTGATGAGGCATTAAGATTAGGCAAAGTCAAATAGAATTGACCATGATAAAGTTTCTTGATTATCAACCATGAAGAAGCTTGAACATAGAGAAGTAAATTGGTTTGGAATTGACGCTTGGAATTGACTTACTCGCTCGGTTCTCATAAATGGCACCTATAATGAGGACGTGATCCTTAGTTTGACTTTAAAAATTGGATGATTTCGAATTTAGGCTAATTGTATGGTTGATATGATTCATCGTATGGAAAATCATTAGAGAGTACCTACGAAACAAGTCCTCTTTTGGCATTTAGAGGATCCTTCAATAAATAAATTAGTTTATGAGAGAGGCATTTGACTCGAGTAGACTTAATAGTATTTGATATGAGTAGGCTTAATTATATTTAGCCTAAATAGGCTTAAATGACCTTTTACTCTTAGGACGAGTCAATATATAATATTGTATCAATTATAGAGTTTTAGAAAGAAAAATCTATAGCATAATAGAGTGTTAACAATTATATAGTAAAGGAGAAATATCAACTTACACTAAAGAGAGGGAAATGAGGTCTTTTTGTTTTTTATATATAACAAATTCTAACATCTATCTATTTGATCGAGGATCCTTTTAGTTGAATATGAGTGTGTATTGCCGGATATATAATCATATGTGATGATGAAGTGATGAATGCTTTTAGAAACTATGTCTTCATTAAATGCTTATCCTTTGTGTTTAGTCCTAAGAGGAAGAAGAGAATTCTATCCAAGATCTCGGATCATGCTATGTATTCGGGATTTATCTAGCCAAAGAGTTTGCCATCTTTGATAAAGCAATCTCAATTATGATTGTATTAGGGTTCTAGCATCTCTTCTATGAACAAAGAGAACAAGTGTCATGAAGCGATTTACTTGGATATATAAATAAGTATATTACCGAGAACCCATTTAATATAGCAAATCAACTAATGTTAATTTTAGTATTTCTAATAAATTATAGCAATTATAATATAAATGATTTATTTAAAACTCCATTGAGTATTGACTAATTGAAATAAGTTATTCTTCATAATAAAGAACTAATAAAAATCTCTATCCAATTACATAATTAAAGAAAAAAAGTTATTTAACTTGAAACACGTCCTCATTTGGTGTGTATTATTCATGAATGTATAGGATATATATTACTCGTGAATGTATTTTTAGGTTTCTCATAATATATTTAGTTTTTATGCTCATCAGTCGAATTTAGGCATACAATCTCATCATTTGTTGAAAAAGATATATACTGAACATATGGTATTAACAACGTATACAGCTAAAATAAAACGCACACAAATTTGCCAATGTTTTCCCATCTCACTATCTCACATATATTCCTAGATAATTGTTTAAAATAATTTCCTCATTTGAATTACATAGATATATGTATATATTTTTTTCTTTTCCGTTTTTCGACGATAAAACCATTAATTCAAATTATTCAGCAGATGTTCTTGATTACAATTAAAAATTGAGTTAAACATCACATTCAGCGGCTGTTATTCGGATGTTAGTGCCGTGACTCAAAGACACACAAACCAACATTTAACCACCATTACATTACATTACATTACAGATGATATATATCGAAGTCATTGTCATCATCAACTCCGTTTATGCAGTAAACCTGCATGCAAAGACAAAGCAATCTATCTCCCTGTAGCTGTAGCTGTAGCTGCAAGACTTAATGTGCAGTCATTATCTTCAAAAGGAGAACATGTACGTCAAGTACCCATATAAGATTAAACCCTTCACGAGAGGGTTAGTTTTCAGTTGGACCACCAATTATTTCCCTTGTTTTGTCTATTATCTTAACTTCATAGTCCAAAATAAATGCACTACGTTCAACTTCTTTTACCTTCTAACTTCTACTTTCAACTAAATTCCTACTCCATCATTCTCCAAACTAAAACAAATATTATCCAAATTCAACATTAAATTTCTTTTTCTGGAGATAAAGATGCAATCAATCCAATTTTTTTTTTTTTAATTTCCCAAAAGAACAAAAGGCCATACAAATCATGACCCCTCTCAAGTTACAGAAAATAGATCATTACATTAATTTGTTTTCTTTTTCTTTCTTGAAATTTTTTCCAAGTTATGACAATTAAATTTTTGCCAGGACATAATTAAAACCATCTTAAGAACAGAGATAAAGTAAAGATATATGTTTCCTTTAAATCATTTAAAAAAATTTTCATTTCTTTAAAAATTGAACTTCTCTTAGATGATTAAAAAAGATAGTTTCCTTTAAAAAAAAAAAGAAGAAGAAGAAGAAGAAGTTGCACTAAGTATACACTCTATTTGTATTGGATATTCTTAGGATATTATACAAAATCCATTTATAAAAATTAATATCAATGATCCAATTTGTTTTTATATAATAAGTTAATTCTTCTATCAATTTTTATATTTTTAATTAAGTTCATTTTATTATTAAACATATATCGGGTTTTTAATCTATCATTTTGGTAAAATTTTTAACTAATAAAGTTAGTCACACATAATTTTATATGAATAAAGCTTTCTATTTATTTGACTTTTAAATATTTTTTGAAAATAAAAATAATCATGTATAAATTACGTGATTAATTTTAATTTTTGACTCAAAAATGTTATTAAAAAAATAAATTAAGATATTTAAAGATAAAATAAACTCAATTACATATATATAAACAAATTGAAGAATTATCTCTATATAATAAGGACATATTCATAATAAACCTAAAAAAAAAAAAAACCAATTATCATATATATCATTTGACGTTTTTTTTTTTTTTTTTACTTGATTTATCTGCTTCCCAAACGTCAACATTAGTATCATTTTCAACACATGCTTATCCCTTAATAGTACAATCCCCTTCTTTGTCAGCATAAAGCAAAATGACTTTTACACGAAAACAATGGTAGGCTGCGTGGCACCTTAAGACCAAGACCTGCTCATTGATTGAAATTGAAAGATTCCGTGGTATTCTGTCGTGCATGGCGTGACGTCATCTATAACCACGTGTCAATTGATTACTGGTTTACTGTATTCAAGATCATTCTCTACTTAACGCCAAGGAGTGGATAATTTAGGTAAGACCCTCCACCACCCATTGGTGGATTTTAAGTGGGCCCCTACCACCACCTCCTCCTCTTAAGCGGAGCATGAGCCGCCGCATCCGGTCGCCGAGTTGCTGGTCGATTTCAAGCTTTACAGCTACGCATGACATCTTATCCCCCGCCAAAACCAATGCAATCATTGGTGATTACTGCAGTTTTCAATTAGCGACTTAATTATTATACTGTAAACCAAATTAGTCAGCTTGGATCTATTGGATTTGGCTCGGCTTCGTCAGTTTCTCTCTTTCTTTTTTTCCTTTTTTTTTTTTTTTTTTTGAAATAATCAAAGTTTTTTTTAACTTAGGTGGCTCCTAAAGAAATTCACATACATGAGTCGTGAATCAAATAATCTCTTCCTTGTCGGAGAAAAAAAAAACCGTGACATCTAAAACCAAAAATTTGCAAGAAATATAAAATATATCATTTTTTTTCCTAGAAATAATCTTGGATTAGCTTTCATAAATTGAAAATAAGTACATCTTCCAATCTCATAAAAAAAAAAAAAAAAAGCCATCTATGGTGGAATTAAATTAAGGAAAATTTTTTAAAAAATTATTTATCAGCATCTAACATTAATTAGGTTTAAAATTGTGATATTTGAAAACTCCGCAAACTCATTCATAGCTTGAGAGCCAAATTCGTCTAAGTCAATAATATAGCTAGCATAGCATTAGCTGAACAAGCTAGACAAGAAAAAGCCGTGAGCTTCAAGAAATACAGTTGTCTATAGGCAGCCGACTAATTGCTTATACACTTACCCTACCAGAATTTCAGGCATAGAAAGTTAATAAATGCCCTAATATTATAGAGAAGAAAGAAAGACGACAAAACTAAAGAAAAAAGAATGGAAAGCTGGGACCGCACTCAAAGCCCTTATAGTGACGCCATCTGACAACACAAACAAGCTAAAGTGTAGCAACCATGACTTCCCAAGAGAATTCTTGCCCTATAAATCACCTCCTCGTTTGCCTCTCTTCCCCTTGCTGTTCCATTGCTTATTTTTACTGCTCTTCCTTGGCACAACCAATCTAATTTCGAGTTTTTTTTTTTAATCGATTAAATTAGCTTTGACATGGCAGAAGAGTTCCAAGAATCGGAGGTGATCTTCTCTGATCACGACCACGAGTGTAAGAAGCACTTCAATTATCAAGAAATGGATGTGTTCTGCAATAACAACAACAAGAAGGTCAAGAAAAAGAAGCAGAAGCAATCGAGTTCCATCCCGGTTAATATTCCTAACAATGTGCTTCAACTCTCTGATAATGATGATTTTGAGGAAGAGTATGAGGGAGAGGATCGTGTTCCTCCACATATTATAGTGGGCAGAAGAATTGCTGGCAAAATGGCATTCTCTGTTTGCACTGGAAATGGGAGGACATTGAAAGGGAGAGATTTGAGTGAAGTTAGGAATTCAATTCTTAGAATGACAGGGTTTTTGGAAGCATGACATATTTTGAATTATGTTCCCTTTGTTTAGAATTTGGTGCATAGCAATTAGATTAGAAGGGGAAAAAAGGAGGGGAAAATAACTTCCTTTCTTTTAATGTTTTTTAGTCTTTTGGGATCAATCTTATTCATTGTAACTGAAAAAAAAATAAAAATTGGGAATTGGAAAGTGAATTATTCAATTCATGGATTTCATATATTATTATTTGTTTGAATGCTTGTTTGTTTGCTTAAAGCTAAGGGCTACTTTCATACATGCGTCTGGTTTTTTTTATCAAATTTGATGTTACCTTGAAGGTTTGTTTTGTCATATGTAATAATGCAGCTTACAGCTTGATGCTTCTGGTTTCTGGTGTATAAAGTACAGAAGGCAGCGCAGATATTACCATTACAGAGCAACTCTGTTGGAGATTTGTCTTGGCTTGGACATTGGCCAACATGAACAGCTGGTTTCAGAGACCCGAGGGAATGTGTTTCCCAGGATTTGAAAGAGTAGAGGTGATCTAAATGGATAATGGTTTGCCTTTTTATTTTTGGTGATTTAAAATAAAACAAAAAAAATTAGAGAATGATTGGTTGTGCCTTTATGGCTTAAGTACCAGCCTTAATACTGTTATATATCTTAAAGTAAAAGGATGAACAAACTGTTTAAAATTGAATTTGGACATGTGACTCAGTCATTTTAAAGTATAGATGGACTGGGATTAATTAGATAGTTTAATTTTGTTAGTTAATGAAAATTGAAGAAATTTCAATTTCTAATCATGCCGGCAAACCAAGGGTTTAAATTAAATTAAATTAAATTTGCTTTCCCCCGACTAAGTCAACAGACAGGATAATTTGTTGGGATTGTTAAATTATTTACATATATACTTTCGTTTTCAAGCTTCTTTTTGTTTCTTTTCCCTGTATTATTTTTTACCTCTAACCCAAACATACCTTAATAGTATGTATTAATTGTGCACTATTTTTTTTTATTTTTATTTTTTCCTATTTGTCTGTTACATGCATTATTGAAAACTTGATAACTTTGTTGTGCTGCTTAATTACATAATTAAGCCTCAACTAGAAGTATACATAATATCAATTCTAATTTCTAAATAGAGCTTGAAGTGAGCTATTGGTTGTCTCTACGTACCGGTGACCATCCATGTATCGTTTTCGTTATATTTGCACCCTTATAGCAAGGTTAGGCTCATTTTTTGTGTTTTGATTAAATAATATGTTCCGAAAACATCAAAAAGTACAAATCACAAGCATAACTTCTCATTTTCAAAACACATATTCCTCAAGTCAATCACCATTCTAATTTATATTAAATAAATTATATAGAAGTTTTAGTTGGATGCAATATAATCAAATTATATGCAATATAAAAAAAATAATAAAAGAGTTCATTACATTTGTTTATGTTGTTGTAAACATTTTTCGTAATGTAATGGAAGTATTCACAAAATTTTATATTAATTTCTGTAACTTTTCAAAAAAAAATTTATTTTTTATATTTTATTTCTATTTACAAAGTGGACCTTATTTGAAAATTTTTTTATCCTCGTACTTTACAAAACACTATAGAAACAATTAAATAGCAATGGAAATTTTTCTATTATATCCAAAATTTTTGTGATCATATTGGTTTAAAGATGAAATAACGATAGAGAAAAAACTATCATTAAAATATTTATCGCTAATTTTTTAGTGACTGATTTAAAAATTAATCGCTTATTTGCTACTCGTTCGACATATATATATATATCATAATTGTTATGACATCACAACATTACAATTTTAAAAATTATATAACCAAATATAAGAATATAATTAATGAAACATTATATTACACGCTCCATTATATACTAACCAAATATACCTTTAATATTTAGATTTCTATCCATGTCATTTATTAAAAAAAAATGGTTAATTATAAATTTTTTTTCGAATTTTTAAAATGATTTTGTATTACTCAATACTCATAGTCAAAAACAAAAACATAATTACTAGTAAACTCGAAAAATTCATTACTATGCTCATTCTATAATTTCATTCTTTGTACCGTAATCTTTGAAAGTTGTAATTTTCATTTTAATATTTTGGGCCGATGAAAATTGAAAAGCAACCCATTCCAATCACTCTCAACTCCCACGTGTGGATCAAAACTATTAATTATCACTAATATTTTAATAATTGATCCTTAAATAAATAAAACAATAGCTTAGTCACTTGCGGAACAAACAAAATTGTTGACACCTAAGCCACGTGTGTGCACGTGGCTGAATAAATGATGTGACCACCGTGTTTGCAGAATCCATTAACGTGTCAGAAAAAGAACAGACATTGTCAGTTCATTAACCAGTAACGTGGACAAATCATAGCCAGAGATTATAAACTAAGTAAGGGAAAAAAAAAAAAAAACTACTAGTTGAATTCTCACTCAATTTTATTCATGAATAAATTATAAATTGGTCCCTCTAATTTTGAAAAATAGATAAATAAATTTTTTTCGTTTTAAAAAAATTAACTATTTAATCATGTTTATTCATTTTATAATTTATTTTTTAAAAAAGAAAATGGACATTTTATAAAAAATAATTAGAAAAAATACTTTTTAAAATAAAATAATATTAAATTAAATATAATGAAAAATAATTAAGATATTAAATAATTAGTTTTTAAAATAAAGAGAATTAATTAATTAATTAAAGAGTGTAATTTATTTACATATATCATTATAATTGTTTGATTGGCTGCATCTATTTATTTCTCTTTTTTAACCTTTATTACTATTCTTTTCTTTCCACCCTAAAGAAAACATTTGCTTTATCGGTTTGCCCTTAAATGTGCCATATTAATTTCTTCTTTATTTTAACCAAATGCTCTGTTCATTAATATTACTGTTCGACCATTATCCAGTAAATATTAAATTATTGGCAAAAAAATAAAAAAAATGTTCTTTTTTTTTTCTATTTGACTTTTAGAGGTATTTTCAGACCAACTTCTATATCAATTAAAAAAAATACTTCATCTCTCACCCATCTTAAAAATATATAATCCACATCAATACAATTCTACTTGTGTTTGCAAAAATAAATAAATATATATAAATCTAACGAGTTATCATGATACATACTTAATTGGCTTTAAAAAAACAATAAATAATAAACTATGGCTTAAAAAGTTAAAATACTTTTTTCTATTTGAATTTCTTGGTAAACATTAACATGCACACATGTTATACAGATTGGCAAACCAAAGTCTAGAAGACGTATGTATATATATACCTTAAAAAGATACTAAATGTTATTTTTTTGATGACACGACAAGATCCTAATCAACTCCATATTCTTTTTTTGGAACTGACTAGGTGGTTGTTAGGATTCAAATGGATTGGATTTAGATGACTGCAACTTTTATGATTATATTTCTCATGTTGAATTTGTCAAATCCAATATATTAGGCCGTGTGACTTCAGTTTCTTGGTTGAATATGGGAATATCAATGCATAATGGTTTGTTTGTTTGTGTAATTGGAAAGAAAAGTAGATTTAGACCCGTATCTTTCTATGAACTCTGCGAGGCCATAGGGTGGAGCATGCAACGATTACAAAGGGTTTTGACCATATATATTATCTTTGTATTTTTTTTTCTATTGTTTTGCTGATTGAGACTGTATAATTTTTTTCATAATAATTGAGTCTCTTTCCTCTTAATTTTGTTTTGTGACCATCTCAACATTGCAATATTGTTAATTTATAAACTAACGTGACACATTAAACTCTTGAATGAATAACATGTGCCATACATAAGATTCTAATAAAAAGACTTAATCAAAATAATTCAAATGCTTCAATTAAAATAATTCAAAGAGCACACAAACAATTTTTTTTTTAATTTCTACGTTATTATTTTTTTTAAATCCCATCTTGAGTGCCACAAATTGTGTTATGTGTGAGATCTCATCACGATAAAATTGTGAAGAGTACTATTTTTAAAAAATATTATAATAACTTAAAAAAATAAAATATAGATAAAACAAACCTAATATGTAATTAAAAAATAGAGCACAAATATTTTTGTCAAAATTAAAACGAAAAAAATAAAAATGCTGATTACTAGCTAATTATCATCCAATAAGAAAATACTATGCAGTCTTTAGGCTTTTTTTTTTTAGGGAGCAATTCCATTTTCCATTTTGAATTGGTCAAATATTCAATTTTTTTTTTTTTATAGAGGATTAGACCCATTAACTTGGGGTCCGGGCTAATTGATATTGCATATTATCATATTTTTGTTTTAATAATTGCAAGCTAGATTTGTAGGGTTTTTTTTCTCTTTTTTATGTATTATTTTATTATTTTAAATTTATTATAATTATTATTTAAAAAAAATACTTCACATTCTTACTATGATGAAGTCTTACATATGACACATTTCGTGTATTAAGAATAAGATTTTTTTAAAATAATAACTTGAAAAGTAGAAAACAAAAAAAATAATTTGATCCTTATATTTTTGAATTGTTTTTATTGAGTTTTTTATTGATATCTCACGTATGACATATGTCATACACTAAAAAACATAACGTGTCATCAGCTCAAACTAGTACAAGTTTTTTAACCACTCTCTATAGAGGCTCATCTTGTACAAGTCTTTTCTAAATTACTTACAAACTAGTACATAATAGCACTAAAAAGCCTTCACATGTTAATTAACTACTGTGGGAAAACATAATATATGAGGAATATTCTTTGCTATTTTAGGAAGGTCTTATAATCACAAAAAATCATGCTTGATTTTCTCGCCCTATTACTTCCTTCCTATTTTGGTGTATTTGGTCTCCTATAAAAGGAAGAGTCCTCCATTGTAAATATAATAGACACATAATAAAATAAAAAAAGATCTCCTCTTGAGGATGTAGGTCTTATGATCGAACCACGTTAACCCTAGTGTTTTCCTTCTTTCTCTTCTCTAAAATTCGACAATTATTTTCCGACAACTAACTTGAGAATTGGAGAATCTCTTACTCAATCAGAAAAGCTTGTTTCACGAGATACACATCACAAATGAAAACTATCATCGCGCTCTATAGTCATTTGACAATCATCATCAACATCTTAAACCACATATTCTAAATTTATTGGTTGAGTCCATGAACGACTCATCAAATTTTCTATTTACATGATATAGATATATACATAATAGTATCTTGTTTGATTAAATATCATGCTCCGAAGGTGTCTAAATGTGTTCCTTTTTTAATTATCGTTTTATCAAAAATTCACATTTCAAGCTTGCATAATCTTGCCAATATTATCTAAGTTTATATGCAGTTTGTTTTCTATTTTCTTTTGGTAAATATATGTTATGTATTTAAACAATTTGTAAACCCTTTAACCGATTGCTGCTATTGTCGTAAACCGGTGAACTTACTGAGCAATTATCCAAATTTATATATTTATTGTGATTTATATTTTTTTCAAGTTCTTACAATTAGCCTTTTGTAAGCGTAACTCATGATTACTCAATCATACTCACGCATGCTGCCACCCTGCTTCATCTGGCGTGCAAACCCTTACGAATACCACTTCGAAACAAGAACTTCTTAAAACTGACTTGAATAACTCTCAACATACAAACATTAATAAACATAATCAATGCTAAAAGAATCAAAAAAACTTTCGAAGTGTTTTCTTACCTATAAATGACTTCTGTGATGATTCAATTGCATCCTACGAATTCTATTTCAAGTATAGGAAAGTATTGTCGTAAAAAACATTATGGCAAGTTTTGGCAAAGACATTTCCTTAGTACTAATCATTTTTATTTGTTCATTTATGGTTACACCAGGCCTTGAAATAATTACTTTTGGAGAACATCCCGAGTTTTCCAAACATTTAGCAGATTGTTCAACAAAGTTGACAGATAGTTGTGGAGAAGAAATCTTTAATAGTATAAATGATAACAGTGCTCCATCAAACATTTGTTGTCATAAGCTTGTTGCAACAGGGAAATTCTAAATTTTAGTTCTACTCCCTTCAACTAATATAGTTTTTTTTCCTTCGTTTGTCAAAGTTAAACAGTCTGAAAACTTCAGGTTCAAACTTCCAAAATTTGTCACATTTGGGTTCTGTTTTCTATGTAAAAAAAAAAAATTACTCCATTGGCGATGCAATGCTTGATAGAAGGCATCACCAACAATTAACCGTATGTCATACACATATACTTTTGTATGTAAGGCTGAAGTAATGAACTCAAAAGAAAGAACCCACTGACCGATCTCATGACCATACTAGGAGACTTCAAACAAATGATCAAAACTGAACATCATTGATACTTCAAAAATGGATAACGTATGAAACAGAACGAACTCTATGCATTGTTCAAATGTGTAAGATTTACATAAATATGCCAGAAACCAGAATAAAATCGTTTCAAGAATGTTTGCTAGTTTGAATCCATCATACATGTTATGATTCCAGAACAATAAAAAATTAGAGGAATCGGATTCCTTGGAAATATTTTGTGCACAGAAAAATGTTCATATTGAATGGAAGGAAAAAAATATTGAACCTTAGCATCTCAACTTAGAAGAGCATCATGTGGAGGACACCAATTGTACAGCTGCAGTGCAATTAAAGGCCTCGTTTAAATCCAAAGTAAGCATCCGACCTAAATAATAGGCAGTGCAAAATATTAATACTATAACAAGGAAAATGATTTACAAACAAATTTAGCAATTGCACGTACAGTATGAAGGAATAGACAGTAGAGCTCCTATGATTGAAATGCATCACGATCCTCAGCCATTTTACATTTTTCTTCACATGCTTTCCAAAATTCAGCATCTGCGAGATGCTACAACAGCCTTCTGGTTCTTTGGAATGTAAGCAAATTCGCTAAAATCAGCAGCATTATTCGACCTGCCATGGAAAGAGAGTCTTAGATGGAGAAATTGTGCAAATCTTAAAAGCAAATTACAATTTGGCATCAGGACTAAATATATCACCTATTGGCACAAGTGTTTTGAATGTTTTTCAGGGGTGCACGCAGTCCACTGGCACGAGAACCAGTCGAGTTGTATCTGAATGACGATATCACTGAAACAAATCTTTCTATTGATTTCTCGGCTATGTTGGAATAATGGCTTATATGTGAAATGTCAGATCCAAACTTCTGTTCCTCAAATTTCTTCCCAGCTAATGTCTTGTTGAGGTGAGGATCAGAACCTTTACAATAATGAAAAGAAAAGACAGAAAAATAAAAAATAAGCATGAAATGTTTTCTTTGAAATTAAGAAAACGTTACCGTGTCTTTTAGAGAAAGTACAAATGGTTTAGGTATATTCAACTCCTAACTCAAAGCATGCAGGTTCATCTTTTATGCCAACGGAATCACAGGTCTTTACATGAAAAAACATATCGTGCACACATTCATTATGACTGACAACGAATCGTTATTTTTCATTTGTGTATTGTTTTGAAGAGACTGGAATTGGGAAAAGAGGGTTGAGGAGTGCCAGTCACTGTAGAGTACATTAAACATGTCATACAATCAAGAACTTGATTAATAAATTAAATAACAATTTCTTGACAATTATATCTGAGTACCTTGTCAGTTTATACTGCAACAGGTATTGACAAAACCTTATAGTGTACTAGCATATTTCATTTGATATTCCTAAATGAGTATTAAGAATCCATATTAATCTTATGAAATCAAAACTGAGAAAAATGATATGATGATGTAAACATTTGAAGATAACAATTGCAGTTATGAGAGAGGGATACCCATCACATGTTGGCCTAAAAATTAATAATACAAGGCCTATAAGTAGTTTGATGAGCTTGAGAAGTAATCAATTGACAGTTTAATGGAAAAAGAAAGGTGTCTTATTCAAAATAATTGTACTTCTCATATTAGAGTAAACTGACTTGAAATCTAATCTATCTGAGATTTTGAAAAGAAAAAATGGCTGGGGTCAGCTTCTTTCTTGATTCCAATTGATATTGGGCAGACGCCAGTTTAAGTGGGTCTGTGTTTGTGTGAAAAGTTGATATTGCATACCATTGTACTATTGTGCCAATGCTAACCATTATATTACCATGCACATCCCAAAAGGATTTCATTTCAATGCCCAAAACGTTATTTTCAGAATGAACTGGAAAGCAATCTCATAAATAAGGCATACCATTATCAGGAAGAGATGCATCTGTACAAATGTGCTTCGCTTCCATGTTCTGAACAATCAAAACAACGAACAAGTTCCAGTATTAGAAAGATACCATTGGAAAACAAAATGAAAAAAAGGGAAAAGGTGAAAGCGCCTACTCTTTGGACACTGTCATTTGGGGATGTCTTCCTTTTCATGATGATGCAATTTGAAAATTTATCTTCAGAAGGGCTCTCGAGAATGAAATCTTCATGAATATTGTTGGCAGCATCATCCCTGACGAAGAGCCTTTCTTGTTTATTGTCTTGATCATTCTCATCAACTGACTTGTGCTGGAAAAAAGAGCTCCTTAAAGTGATCCCTCTGTTCCCTGTTCTTTTATTATCAGATCCCTCAAGGACACTATCTTCACACATATCACTAGCAACAGCATCCTTGACTGAGAGCATATCTTGTTTATTGTCTTGATCATTCTCATTAACTGACTTGTGCTGGAAAAAAGGGGTCCTTATAGTGATCTCCCTGTTCCCTGTTCTTGTGTTGTCAGATCCTTCAAGGACGCTATCTGCACACATATCACTGGCAACAGCATCCTTGACTGAGAGCATTTCTTGTTTATTGTCTTGGTCATTCTTGTTCATTGACTTGTGCTGGAAGAAACGACTCCTTACAATGACCCTTTTGTTCTCTGTTCTCGTTCTTCCCTCAACAGCAATTGGAGCATTCTCATTATTACATTCTAGTAATGCTTGACAAGGTCTATGAATTGAATGACCAAATTGTTGGAGCAAAATACGTTCAGAAGGCCCCTTCTCGTCCACCATGCCTTTTATGTTTCACAAAACACGAGTAAGCACTACATGCTAACTTAACTCGACAATTCATACCTGCATGCACTATGGAGAAAGCTATTTCCTTAATCCTTACCAGGACTTGGAGACTCCATAAACTTGTGAACTCCATCTGGAAAACAGCTTTCCACCTGCAAGAGGAACTTCCAAGATTATAAAAAGGCTAGAAAAAGAATTCAACTAAAACCAAATCACATCAATTGAATTTATCATCTCTTAATTATTACTAACATTGTTGCTGTGGGGGGTGTTTCTGTCATCTGTCGAGACAACTAAGGATGCAGAAGAAGAGCTGGTATTACTAGAAGATGCCTCCTCACTACCATTATCCTGGGGACTCAAAGAAGTGCAATCCACTAGACTTGGACTTGTAGGTGACGACCGAGGTGCTCTGAAGTTTCTCTTTGCTTCTAGAGATGCGAAGCCTTACTGCATTAAGGAAAACTGGAAAGAAATAGCATGTATGTATACACAACAACACATTTATGCATACGAACATATCATCCCTGTTCAGAATTCCATCTTAGATGCCATGTCCATTTCTACCATAACCTCAAGGCACAGCATCTGTTTGCACCTCAATTTCAGACCTTTGATGGAGGTAGAACCATCACAAACAACTTAAAAAGACATCTCCTAGAGAGAGAGAGAGAACGGGACAGACAAGGAGCATTGTGATAATTGGCCCAAAATTAAAATCCCCTGCATCTTTTTCTGTTCTAGTTTGAAAACATGCAACTGGCACCTAATCTAGTACATGATAATTGCAGTGGACTCCAGTTAAAACAAAGCATGTAAACTTTTTCCTAGTCATTTTCTATAATATTAAATATATACATATGAAAACCAAAATCCTTAGTCAAATCTTACAGAAAATTCTTTGATTGGATACAGAAGTACTTAGTCAGCAGATTCTTCTGCACAGGCAAATCTAGCTTTTTCTTTCCACTTTCAGGTTTAGAGTTTTTGAATTTGGGAGTTACATTAAGCACTGGTACAGAACTAACAGTTTCTCCCTGTAACTGCAGAGAAAAATAAAATTTAAGAAAAATAATGCTAGCAATATTGAGACGCTAAGCAAAGTGTTAATTTGTTTGTGTTTTCTTCCTTGGGGAAAAAGAAAAAACTAGAACACAGGAGAAAGTCCCCTGATTGATAGCAAGTATTAATGCATAGAACAAGCTGTAAAAAATTGCAATGAAAATCATGCATTAAGATGTTATATTAATGTCATTTTCAGAAGACAGAATAGCTCACTGAAGCCCTTCATTTTATATTCAATTCATTGCTTTTCTATATCTAAGTTCTTTAACTAATGTAGCTACTCTAGTTAGAAAACAAAAACTGCCTGCAAAACAAACTTAAAGTTATGTTAGCTGTTTTTACAAATGAAAACGTCAGAGCACTGAACCAAGGGCTCCTAGAATTTTACCAGTCAGGGAAGCAGGTCAATCCTAACAGCAGCACTTGCAGATGCTCTAAATCTTTAATTCTAAGTGGACTACATCTAAAGGATATCTCATTTTCCATTTGCATAGTTTTGCAAGTGCCATCAAGAATGCAAGTTATTTTCATGCTTTAACACTCTCAAGTCTATTTTTCCTTCCCCAGAAATTCTTAAATGAAGCAACATTATTGGTCATTCTACGTACATCACAGTTAGCAACAATTATCTAACTATTACTTAAGACTTCCTTTCATGCAAATATAATCCAAGTACTTTAGGTGTTGCGGAAAGCAATGATAGTTGCTGCTAACTAGCAAAATAAGTTGACTAAATGCGTAGTTTAAAAGAAGAAGCATCTACAATCTTGAAACTTGAAGGAGAGGAGAAAGAGGAAATATAAGCAAAGAAAATGAAGTAGACAAAGAAGCTACCTGGAATGCCATTTGTGTGAATGGATCTAGATCCCCTCTGGCTATACCTGTAGCTATATGTTGCGGTATCAATGTATTTCACGTTAAGGCACAGCCCAAAGTACTTCAAAAATAAAGAAAAAAATGAACACATAAGAGACCAATGACAGATTCTGTTTGAAGGATATGGGCCCAAAAAGTCCAAATCATTGCCAAGATTGCCAGGCATGTCAGACAAATGTACAATATCTTCCGTGATAGGATCATAAACCCGTTGATGCCGGAAAGTCAATATTGCTTTCTTGAATGATTCTTCATAAAGAGGTGGAATAGACACTATGCTATATCTCAAATGTTTGATCACCTAAAGGCACCAATCATCAATAGGTATATAGCAGAAATAATAAAAATCTACTGAACAGAAATTAAAGCACTTGTGTAATAGGGGAAAAAGTCACAAATGAATTTTAGCATCCAATCACAATCTGATATACATCTTGTTCATTTTCAAGGCAACTTTCCTTATTACACATGCACAATAAACTCACCTTGTCATAGCTTTTGAACTTTGTAATTAATGCATGTGCCCTTTTCAGTCCCATTCCTGGCAACGATTGTAGATAGTCACAACCACTGAAAATGCACATCTCTAGAAGCATTTCATTTGTGAAACCTGCAAAACTTATATCCTTGTTCTGTTGAAGCCTCGATCTCTGAAACTCAACACCTTGCCCATACTTATCCATTTTGAAAATAATCTGAATTTAAAAAGGAAATAGTTAAAGCAACTCAGTGACGAAAAGAGTGCAAGATTCAACATAAAAATAAGAGAGAAACAATAACAAGAAGTTTTTTAGATAATCCACAGCTAAATGACTCACTCGGTGACAACCAAAAGGTATTAGATCAGAGTCCTCAGTGATAACTGCATCCACTTGTTTGCTTATCGCCAAGAAGGTCATTTGGGCATCTGCCTCATAAGGAGCCACAACATACGATACATTCTCCTGCCTTAAGACCTTCCACATGCAATCACATCAATAGAGATGTTAATATTGGCAATGCTAAGGATACCTATGAATGAAATTGCAGATAAGACTGAGAATTTGTCTTCCATGAATACGAAAAATCTGATTGCAAATGGATTTGAGAACTCATCTTCCATGATATACAGTTCCTACCTGGATTAGTTGGAGTGCAATTGAAGGGGAAATATCAACAGCCTTCTGATAGCACTCATAAGCAGCCGTAGAATTTCCATTTGACTCATGATCAAGAGCACGTGCAAGGTTTTCTTTCCTTGTCCTGCATTTGTTAGCATCTCCTTGTTAGCAGGTTTTGCATGCTCACATGTTTTGGCTAATGGAATGTCAAACCAGGTCCCAAATCTGTATTAAAAGTGAGACCAAACACTGGGATATAACTACAAAATGCTTAAAATAGATCAGGCTAAGAGGGTTGACATTTTGGTGTCAGGCTTGTAGACCATCAAGTGAAGAAAACCTTTTATATGATGAAGTGATAGAATAAAAGTGGCAGGAAGTGTTCTTCTGATGAAGGGGCTGAATTAAATTGCTCAAAACCTCACCGGGAAGGAAACATGAATATAAAATACTAGAGATAGATGTCAAACGTTTCAGCTCCCCATCAATCCAATGTCGTGCCTCCCCATCCATTCAGCCCCATACCACAAGCACATACAAATTTGGTACCAGAGGAAAACTACAGACATAACCAACTTACACTCCAAGAGAAGCAATTGTTGACAAGAAGATTTGGAAGACGACAAGTATTTCAGTAAACCGAAGACATAAAATACACAATATAGGGCTACACAACTGACACCTGACAGTTAAAACATTCAAATGGTCAAAAGGAATTCTTCTAGCCAATCCCAAGTGGCTGGAAGTACTGTTTTCAATAAGTTGTTGAGCCCTTGAACTTAAGCTTGATATAGCATTATTCATGAGCAGAATTGAGACGTTAAAAGATATGTGCCATACCTTGCACGCTTGTTCTCTTGTTCAATCTTCATCGGCAGAAGACCTCCATCAAAGACTAGAATTGGCTTAACACCATAATGCCGCAGCAAATTTACTCTGTGCATGCAATACTCAATGTGCCTAAAATAACAGACACAAAATGCTACCATTTTATAAGAATGCACATGAAAAACACACTTCGTTCGCCATTTTTTTCTTGGCAGACAACAATTAGATGTCACATATCAATTACTTGTACTTTAGCTTTCCAGTTAAAAAACGCCAAGAAATCTCTAAGCACTTTAAGACTAAGTCTCTGGTCAACCTAAATTGATTTTCAGCAGAACAACAGAAAAAGAAAGAACTGAAATTTCATTAAAAAAAAAATTACTTCACAGTGATCCCATAAGGCTAAAGCAACTTTATGGCTATATCAAGCTTTTCACTTAAAAAAGGTAACGCATTAAAACAAGAAAACCATTACCCCAATTCAATCAAAAATCAAAATTTGCATTAAAACCACCAATAAAAGAAAACACATTTGCCCAAATAGATTAAAGCTCGAAACTCTTCAACCGGGTCAATAAAAAAAAATCGAAATGCAGAATATAAAAGAGGCAATGAAAGAGGAACCTGGAGGTGGGTGACCCTTTGCAAAGCTGAGTGCTGCAGGACAAGGCACCTTTGTGAAGCCAAGAGTAGGTATCAACCGCAACAAAAGAGCCTTCTAATTCCTTAATGTGGATTGGCAACATTATTGATTTCAAGAGAGGTAAAAGCCCTTGTATTCCCATCTCTTCTGCTCCACACTTCTTGTCTTGACAGTGACACCCCCAAATCCCAAATTAATAGAAATTTCCTAATTTTTCTTGGGGTATCAGCTTATCAAATTCTCCCCTTTTTTTTTAATTATTTTTTAACCTTTTCAAGAACCTTTTCAAGGATGCGCCTAAATGTTTTTGGTGTTGGCGGGAACATTTTTGTACCAAGCATTTTTTGGGTTGCGCTGCACGACTTGTTGTTCACTGGAGGAGTTGAAACTCGGAAGGATGGACCACGGCCTTTCTGTTTAAACCACATGGTGCACGACTCGTAGTTATTTACTAATTTTTTACTCGGATTAAGCTCTAAATTAGATAAAATATATAAAACTATTTTAAAAAATAATTTTAATTTGATAATCTATATTATATTATCAATTTATAAAAATATATCAAATTGAAGGTAAAAAATCCACTAACTTTTCTTTTTAGTTCTGTATTAAATTAATTATTTATTGTGTTTTCATAAATTTTCTACTAAAGGATATGATTTATTCTTCTATATCTGGATTCTTGACTTGTAAGAAAATTTAAAAATTCATAGATTCTTATCTAAAAACTTTTATATTTTAAAAAAATTAAAAATTATATATATATAACCATGCTACTATAATTAAAAATTTTAAAAATATATATATCTTATAAATTATATCAATTTTTTAAGAGCAAATAACAAAACAATTCATTAATAGATTTCTCTCCTCTCCCTGCTATCCTTTTGTTTTTCTCTCCTCTTAACAGTTAGAAATTAGATTACAACGCAAATAAAGTTATAGCTCGAAATAAAAATTGTTGAAAAAAACAAAGGAAGAAAGAACAATATGAGCAAAAATTTAAATATAAAATGCTTGAAAAAAAACCTTGAATTTACAAAAATACCATTCAATGCACAATAACAATGGGGTGAACAGTGTTGTGGGCATTTAAAATGCCTGAAAAATATTTGAAACAACAAAAATGCTATTGATTTGAATCATAAAAATATTATTCAATGAATACTATTTTATGATTGTGAAGAGTGCAAGAACAGTAAAAACCCTCCTATTTTAGGGTCCTTTGTAATTGATTTAGAGATTATATGCAATTGTAATTGTGAAAAGAAAAAAAAAGGGGTTTAATTGTCACATGTGATTGAAAAATACTTTATATTGAACTAATTATAAAATTAAAATAAAATAAAAATTATATGTATATGTATCTGATATAATAAAAATATTACTCTAGATTTGGTAATTTTTGTGTGGGGCTGAAGTATGCACGCTTAAATATTGTAGGTCTATCGATTTAATGGTTAAATATGTAATTTTTTCAATTTTTTTTTTTTTTTGTCATATTATCTCAATGTTTGGCGTTACTCTATTAAAAATAATTAAAATATAAATATTAGATATTTATATTTGTATGTATTTGAAATACTAAAAAAAAATTACTTCAGATTTGGTAAATTATGTGTAGGGCTTGTGTCAATCCTGAGTTTAATATGGCAGCGAGGTTTTGAGCCAAAAAAAAAAAACTTAAATTATTAAATTTTAAATAAACAAAATCAAAATGTAATTGTTTAATATCCATGGCACATCCAGAGTTTAATCTCGAACTTATATTATTTGAATTAGAACTTATATTAATCTCGAGAACATTAGTGAGAGTAGCTTCCTTGAAGTTTCTAGCAGATATTATTATTATTATTATTATTATTATTTAAGGATTGGAATTGCTTACGATGGAAATTTGTAGAAATGGCCTACACATAAGCATTCTTTTCTCATTTTGTATTTTCTCTTTCTTTTTGCATTTCACTGTAGATAATCTATTTTTGACTCTCTGATGCTAATTACTTTTTAACTTTAACTTTTGGCTTCTGTCTTGGCAGAGAATGACTCAGCATTTGACCTTCTTAATTGCATAACATTCAAGCTAATGGCTTACCATTCATGCCTCACGTATGGACTTCAATGTGTGTTTTCTTCAATCATAAAATTCTGAGCAAGGAAAGGCTAGGAATGTTGTATATGGAAGTGTTATGGATGCATTGATGCTTTGTGAGAAGCACAGACATATATTGAATTTGTTCTCTAATATTTGCATAGATCTTATGATTTAAGAAACCAAGCAAAATATCATTCTTTATTGTAATAATGAGGATAAAATATCCATTAAAAAATTATAGGAAGGTAGATTTGACTTTGGAAGGCAGGGTGTACATTAGTGTTGGAAGATAGCTAAAATGGTTAATCATTTTAAAGACAGCATGTAGTTAATACAAAATTCTAATAACCCAAATTAAGTTACTCGTGAAAAAATCTATGTCACAACTGTTCTCCTTCTTGCTAAGAGAAAAAAAAATTGTCAAAGTGATGGGAATATCAATTAGATATAAGGAATTCAGAGACATTTGTGTTTTATGCATTTTCAATTTTTCTTTTTCATCTAATTGAGTTTGGTTTGAGTATCATCCAGCTCATGTACTTTCTGACTCTGCTTCATGGCTGAAGATTTATTGGATCAGGCAACTCAGTCAAAGTGCTTTCCCAACCAGAGATTGCTCTCATGGATCCACACAGCAGCTGAAAAACACAACAATAGGAAAACTGTAGCACATCTGCTTATGCTGGATCTGCAAACAGAGGGTTATAGTGCTATATATGCCATCACATTCACAATTCATGTGTTTTATCTAATTAGTAAATTGTTGACTTTGCTTTGAATCTTTAACAATTTCAAAATTTTATCAAATGTGCCCCATGCAGGTCGGCAGTAGACAATCTACCTCACTATAACAAAAAGGTATTAATTGAATGTTATAATTATACTGGCAGCTTAATTAACACATAAATTTTAATTAATTTGCCCTGAGAAGGAGACATTTTTCTTACTCTTAATACTTAGAGAGAGGTCGTGGAGTATTGGACTTCTTGTCTAATGGTTCACCGCAAATCTTTTATATATATAAAAGATGAGAAATTAGGCATCGCTGAGAATTAGGAAGTCAAGAGACAGATAGAAGGTTGAGATTTTTCTACTCCTCTGGCCACCTAATTTTAGCTGTATCAATGGAAAAAGGAGGAGTAATTAATGACGCGATGACAGAGAAGTTATTCATAAAGGGACAAATGAGTAACGATACTAGCAAGGATTTGTTGGGCAAGAGCTTTCAGCTACAGTACTATTATTCACGTAAAATATTACAGTTAATTTGTGGATATAAAACATGTGATGCCATCTCCATTGCTCACAAAACATAAGTTCCACTTGGAGTTTGTCTGGACCACCCATGATGTTTTTCTACATCTATCTTCTATGTACATGAGGCTGTCCTAAGAAGAACAACATAAGTCCACGTCTAGCAGAGAAGCTGAAAATTCTTTAGTTTTTTTTTTTTTTTTTTTTTTAACAAAAGCTTCAGCAGTTTGAGGTGGATCTGCTCCCAAGTGATTTGGCATATTCCGACACAAGTGGGTTTTTAAACACACACAAACACGTGCATTAAAGTGCAAAAAAATAGTGGTTCAAGTTACTTTGGTCATTATGTTTCAACACAGTGGATGAAGAAAACATGCCTAGTGCACTGTAAATACAAGTCTCCTTGCGCCACAAAAATACAGAGAGAGAGAGAGTGTTTTATATCTTTGAGGTTTGAAGAGATTGACAGATGCTCTCAACTTTGTTGTCTTCAGGTTATTCAGGTTTCAGTGATGCAGCTGGACTTGCTGGTAATACCTCTATTTCCTTTTTCTGTTGTTTCATAATGGTGCTACTTTGATAACAAGTGTTCAAATTATAGCTTTGCTTCTGTCTTAAATAGAAATGAACTGAAGGAATGATTCTTTTCATGTATTTTTGTCAAGCACATGGATTTGTCAACTTTCCAAAACCTTCTGTGATTTCCCACCCCTTTAGTACGCTGTTTATGGTATTTGAGATGTTGCCCAAAGATGGTTATATGTTGTAAACCATATAATTTGATATATGTGGTAATTCAAAATTAGAAAAATAGAGTTGTCTTTGTATGATATTTGTTAAAATATATAAGCTTTTTGGTCTATGGTGGTTCCAGATAGTGGAGGGACGAACTTGGATATTTTCTTGTTTCTATGAGGTGCTCAGAAAATGACTGAAAAATTAGAAGAAACATGTGATCGAAACATATTATTGATTGTCATGAACATAAACTACCTCATGTGGTGGATCCCTTTAATTGTTTAGCCTCTGAATATGCGCTGAAAGATATCTTAATTCACTGTATAATCAAATCTTTGTTGCCTCGTTTACTTATAATCAGGGGATACTTTGAAGTATTCTGAAAGCTAGCTGCTTCTTAATTGCAGGGAACCTCTTTGCTTTTGTGTTATTTGTGTCGCCGATGTAAGTAGTTATAATCCTTAAATTTATCCCTGAAGTAAAGAATTCGAATCAATGAAATTTACGAAGCTAAACTTTGTCTCTTTCAGACCAACATTTAGGAGAATTATCAGAAACAAATCAACTGAGCAGTTCTCAGGATTGCCTTACATATACGCTCTATTGAATTGCTTGATCTGCCTCTGGTATGGCATGCCATTTGTAACACCTGGTGTTATATTGGTTGCAACTGTAAATTCATTTGGGGCTGTTTTCCAATTAATCTACACAATCATCTACATAATTTATGCTGATAAAACCATAAAGGTAACAGATTGTTCCCAACTTCTCTTAAAATTTGGCATTTCGCTTTATGCATATTTGAGCTTGATCATCTTCGTGTTCTGCTAATGTTCTTGCAGCCGAAGATGTCAGCATTACTCGTTTCAGTATTTGCGCTATTTGGTGTGGTAGCATTTGTGAGCCTGAGATTTTTGGACTCTCATTTGCGTCAGATGGTTGTTGGATATTTAAGTGTCTTTTCTCTCATCTCTATGTTTGCGTCACCCCTTTTTATCATTGTAAGTCCATAGGAAACATTCACGTAAATTTCACTTCAGATTCATTCCCTGCACTCTTGCTCATATTTTTTTTATTTTTGTACATGTTTGCGGTGCCAGAATTTGGTGATTAAAACCAGGAGTGTTGAATACATGCCATTTTATCTTTCCGTTTCAACATTCTTCATGAGTCTCTCTTTCTCTACCTACGGAATGTTAAAGTTTGATCCTTTCCTATATGTAAGTATTTTTCTCCAGGTAGAACATGGTCAAGATAGAAAAAGGAGATGCTTTTCACTTTATAAATGTACACCTATTCATACATTTCTGTTTGGAAAATGCAGGTACCAAATGGAATTGGAACAATTTTGGGGATAGTTCAATTAGTACTTTACTACTATTATAGCAGCAAATATGGTGAAGGTTCAACAGAACCCTTGCTAGCTTCATATGCATGAATACATCAGGTAGCAGTGCGTCGTAAGGTTGTTTGCTTGCTTATTCCTCTTTCCTTTATATGTTGGAAAAAAGCGGGAATTGAAAATCTGTACAATCTGATAAAAGCAGAAGTTGTATATGTACTGCTGTTAATTGAAGTATCTGATTTTCAGGTTATTCAGAGACACAATCCACAATTGCCACATTCCAAGAGAGAATTTGCTCCTGCATCGTCATTAAAAGTAGATTGAATTCTCTCATGGTCTTCGACAAGCCTTAAAAACAGCTGAGAACTGTGTCCTCGAAACACAAATATCAGTAATTTACAGAACAGAAATAACAGAAAAGGAAGAGGAAGAAGCAAAATGGTTTCCGAAAGCTAAAACAGAATTGCTACATCTGTGCGCCGGGATATCGTGCCACTACGTTAAATCCATAATCTGCCACGTTTTTCGATGCCATAACCAGGGTGTTACTAAACTGCCAGTATCATTGCATGTCTATCTCATCATCTTCTCCACTTGATTTGCTATGATGGCTTTTATCTCCATGTTTTTCTTTAAAATATTTGGTATTATTGTAATACAATTAACAATATCTTTTACTTCCACTGGTTTTAGAGAAGATTAAAAGGAAAAACAGTGATATATATGGTTCATCAGCTTAGGAAAAATCGCTAATTGTTTATCAGAAAACTAAGTAGGTTTAACTGTTCAACTGATCAAGTCCTATTTAATTGATCACAATGGCCGGAAATTAACGTCTAACAATAGGAAGAATCTCATTAGACCTATTTAATTTCTGTACAAACAATCGAAGGTATTTAGTTCACATTTAAACCACAAGATTCTAGAGCAAGACTGTAATTCTGCAGATTACATGATATGACAAAAGACCTAAAACTAGGAAAAATCAACATGATCTGTTAGTAAATAATATCTATCGAGGAAAATAAAGATATTTATGCCATTTCTCTTTGCATAATTCTGATTTGGACCCAAACTCCTGCTTTTTTGTACACAAATCCCAAGTGACAAACAAGTTTTCGTTCCTTTTTTTGGTAAATAAAAAAATAATTGATTTGAGTCGATTCAATAGTTTTTGATGTTGCTTGCCCATGCATACAAAGAAGCTTGCTTCTTTTGCCAAACCTAACTCTCCCTGTAAAAAGTACCGTTAGCTGTGCAAGTTGTTCAGCAACTACCTAGGTGCCTCTATAATCCCCTTCTCTCCATATGTACATCAATCAGGTTCAAGTACAATGAAGGGGGAGTATGGGACCATTCTGAGGGCAGGTGTGACAGAGCAGGAATTTAGCAGGTCTTCACTCTTTAGAATTCAGATAGCAGTTGTCCTGGATCTTGTCCGGGTTGGGTTTTTCTAGTTGCTGGAGTGTTAGACCAATCTGTGGGTTTAGATTCAATTAATTGCTTCATGCATCATGGATCTAAGATAGCCCATATCTTAAGGCTTGTGCTTGTAATTCCATGGACAACTCATGAGGTGAATAAAGTCCAGTTCATTAGATTTCCAACTGCAGAACAAGAAGAATCCAAAATTTGGTTTTGTAACATTTAATAACAAGGTTTTTTTTCCTCGTTTTTTCTAGAAGACATTTAATAACAAGTTAGATGCATTTTACACTCTAAAATAAACTCGAATCATTCATCTAATAAAACACACGTATCTAGTAGCACTAACACGTTACAAACGCCTAAATTTAGAAACATAACTTATTGCAGGTTCTTAGAAAGCCCATAAAGTTCTTTTTTTTTTTTTTTTTTTTTTGGAAAGTGAACTTGTATACTATTTTTATTGATAGTGCTGAATTTACAAATAAATAAAATAACAACCAATTCCAAAAAAATATTCCTACAAAATCTGATATTGATAAAACAGAAAAACACTTCAATCAAATTCAAATTCTTGAACTATTCAAACTCAGCCAGCTCCAACCTTGGTATGATGCACTTCTTTTGCAGCAAAACATGTAGACTTCTTCACTCTTCTTGCCCATTTTGCTGCAAACTCCGAGCTTCCTTTTAAACTCTTCAAACTTAGGTGATGTTTGATAAAGCTGAAAATTATAGCTGAATTTGTTAAGTATTGAATATTTTTTCGACAATTTATTTGGTTTTTACTGAAAATTAAGTGCTTGAATATAATAAGATTGTTTGATAAGTATTGTTGTTGAACATATTAATGCTATATACATGACAATTTTACCCTTGTGATTATAACATTATATTTTTTAATACAAATAAAAATATATACATCGATGTGTTTGTGTGTATAAATGAATAAATAAATAAAAATTCAATAAAAATGATTATTAATAAAAAAATTAAACACGAGTTTAAGATAAGTTAACTTTTGTATCATGTACAAAATAAATAAAATCTCAAGTACTAATCAATTCATCCGTAATTTGATCTCGTAAATTAATCATAAATGTTTGATCGAGCTTATGCTTGTATCCCTCCACCAATGAATGGAAGAACTCCACATCTTAAAACAAGCAAAGAGAACTTAATGTCATTCAATAGTTAGTGCATAGCTTTGTTAGGTACATATGGTTAAGCGAGGCTAATCCGATAACATGAAATGCATTGAGACAAAAACAAAAATACTCCATTGAGGAAAATTTATCACATAATACCAACTAAATAAATATAATTAACTTCCATACTTTTCAAAATTTACGAGCAGTGTTGTAAACCTTGTATGACATGGTTAACAAAAAACATAACCACGTTACTATTAACGAAACATATTACAATAATAAGATTTTTAGATGTGAGTAGCATTTCATGAGATGATTTCTTCCAATTCATTAGGTACATGAGTTCTCATTTTTGAAAACATGTAAATAATATACTTGTGATACAAAAGAGCCTATTCTCGGGTTAGCCACAATGATTTTAATATCTTCGACTCAAGAATAATACAATTCAATATCTAATTTATGAAATGCGGACTTGAGATTTGAGATCATATCCATAAACAACACATAGATAAGCGATGGTAAAGAAGGAAGTAATAAAAAACATGGACAACACTTGATAGAATTTGGAACAATCAAATTTAAAGGAAACTAATATATTGAGTTCAAAAGATACACTGACTGGCTCATATTACATGGCTACATGAAAAGGAGAAATACCCGAATATCCCTACCACAATCTATAGGATCACTAGCAACACATGCTGCTTGAACTATTTCGAAAAAATATCATATTTTGGCACTTGCATTCCTAGGGAGACTCGCTCTTGGTTAGCCACTTTTTGTTTTGAGCCAAATGATCAATGTTCTCGAAAAGAGTCGCATAAACCTCTAATGAGACCACATTTCTACCATGAAGAATGAATTAGGCCATATGGAATGTGAACAAATCTTGAAATTTATGGTGTAAAAAAATGATCGAGACATTACAAAGACCTTACTTGAAAACATACTCAACATTATTGCATCGAGTTCCCCTTTTCCGAGTGGCAACAATGAGTTGACTCTCGTAAGCGAGGAGGGAAAAAAAAAGAAAAAGAAAAAGAGCTCGATTGACCACAACACTCGTAAAAAATTAAAAAGATGTTGGATTTCATTGACATGTCGAGAGATAAGAAAAAATTGCAATACGAATAAAAAATGCGGCGATCAAATAAATCTACTATGTCAAAGAAACCTATTTCCCTTGAGACGACTCACTTTAACTTGTCTAAACTAGCGACATTCCCCTAATTCATACTTTGGTTCGGTCGTGTATTAAAGTCAAAAGGTGATGATTATATTGATCTTTATTGTTGCGATCAGTCATTTCACTCCAAAACATCTTAAAACATATCCTATTTTACATCTCCAATAACATCGATGTGCTTAGTATATTAACATAGTATCGTGATAACCGGAGTTGAAGATGAAGAGAACGGGAGGTCCATAAAAAAAGAAAATAATTTAAAACGAGTAAGTTGCATGCCGGTTTTTGAAATTGAAGACATATGTATAAAATAAGATAGGCTCAAAATCAATAATTATACATATACCTATCCAAATTTTTTTTTAAAAGGTGCATGACCACGTAAAACATGTACCGGGAAAAAGAGACAGACTATGCAAAAGGTTTCACGGTCAAATAATGGTCCCGGATAATTAAAAAATTAAATCTCAAAGCAATACCTAAAAAGGTAAAATCTTTACTCCAAGCAATTCACTTAACCGATTAGCTCTCCTAGATTTCGGAACACAACCTCTTAACAAAATAGAAGATTATAAGTATATACGATAAGTCATTTAATCGCTCTATTATGTGAACTAAGTCACCGAGATATAGAAATCACTCTAACAAGCATATTTATGCAAATTATACATTCTAAAAGAGGATAAAAAAAATGGCTCAAATACACATAAATACGAGCAACGAGCTATCAAGGCCTACATTTTTTCATAACTTCATTCCGTTAGAATCATAACGAGTCATCTTCTTTTTACAATTAGCTAAAATAAACTACTTTTAAGCTAGTGGATGCTATATGGAAGAAACTATTCAAATAACTCACCATTTGTCAAGAACCGATAATGGGATTAGACCTTGGCATCTCGGATTTCTAGTAGCTTATTGACGATGAAGGTATGGAAGCATCGATAATAAAGAAGGTCTTTTCTATTTTGGCAATAGGGATAGTAGGGATCGTTTTTTAATTGGTTTGTATAGCTAAAATTAAAAAAAAAATTTAACCGAGCATGTTAATCAAAAAGTAATAAGCTAAAAACTTTAACTTACCTAATTAAGTAGATTTTGATCGAGTTTAAATTTTAAATAGGAAATTATTTAGATTATCAAATAAATTTTTTATATTAAGTACTATAACTTAATTTTTTAAACTACTTAAATGGGTTATCAAACACACCCTTAGTCTTTCACTATTTCTTGCCCATTTTGCTACAAACTCCAAGCTTCCTTTAAAACTCTTCAAACTTAGTCCTTGATAAAGCCTTAGTCATTAAATCAATAAGTTGCACATCAATTACGCATTATATCAAAGCAATTTCCTTACTTTTCCGAACTTCTCTAATGAAATAAAATTTGATCTTAAAATGCTTGATTTTGCCATAAAACACAATAGCAACTCTGGTTGTCAACAAAAATATTCATTGCTTCTTCTTATATATGCTCCAAATCTATCACAACTTCTTTAACCATAAAGCTTGATTTACAACAACAATAGCTGCACACATATTCTACTTTTGTTGTGGATTGAGCAATAATATATTGCTTCTTAGAACTTTAAGACAAACATTAAGAACCAAAGCTAAATACATATCTAGAAGTACTTCTCATATCATCACATGATCCTGTCTAATCACTTTCAAGCATAACCAAGTAATTTCAAACTTTTGACTTCTCAAACATAATACCAAAATCAATTGTGCCTTCAATATATCTAAACACTCTTTTGATAGCATTAAAATGCAACTTACTTGAATATTGTATTAATCTAGATAGCAAACTTATAGCAAACATAATGTCGGGCCTTTTAGCGATATTGTACATTAAACAATCCTAAGGCTTTTGTATAATCCTTCATCAACCTTCTCAAGCACCATTATCTTTGCTCAATTTTTCATTACTGCATTAGAGGAATTCTTATGGACTTGTAATGCTCCATGCTGAATTTTTAAAGCACGTTTTTTTATACATATTTTTACTTGTCCAATAAATATATTTTTTGCTATGATTGTTTTATATCTATGTCAAGAAAGAATAACATCTTTCTCAAGTCTGTCATCTCAAACTCTTTCATTATCTACTCTTATGAGCTCATAATTTAATGGGTAATAACAAGTTATTGTTATGCATATGTTAGCCATTGAAATTTAATTTTTGGATTCCTCATAATGTTTAGTGCATACTATTATATAAAAGAGGATGACCGTAAGCTCTTAATTGAATTTATGGTTTATTAACATATGTTTTATGAAGTTTAGGTTAAAGTCAAACTTTTCAATCCTAATTTAGACATAGGCCAAAACTTTCTGACCTCTTCCTTGATGAATTGTGAAACTTCAAGCGAAAAGGTAACCCTATATTTGATTGATTTTGACAAGATTTAAAATTTCACTATAACTTTAGCTAACGATGATCAATAACACCACATTGAGATCACAACCAATTTTACCACATTGGGAAAAAGAGAAGAAGGGAAATTGTGTTAGCATTGAGAATCCTTGACCCCTTTTAAAATAATTATAGGATCATGATTCCCTTAATTAAAACGCCATGCTGTGATCTCACATGATGAGTTATTTCATTCAAGAGCTTTGCAGTGTGATACCCAAGCGTGTGTGTTTTTTTTTTCCGTCGTATGATCATTCATATCCATCATGCCATCACCACCATTCAATCATAAATCCTGATTTTGAGAAAAACATAAAATACCAATGATTAAACTTAAACTACCCAATAAATTCATCCAATAAAAAGAAAATAAAAACTCCACACACAACCATCGTATGTTCTTTTCTCTTAAAAAGGAGCGCAGAAATTTCAAAATTACCAACAAGTCCATCGTCAAAACCGACGAGCCCAAAGAACAATTCTAATATAAAAACAGCAAACAACCTTAACCAGGACAAAAACGTCATTGAATGAAAACGCGGTATTATTCCTGCGGATCTCTCAGTAATAAATAAAGCCAACCAGCAATCTCGCTAGTGACGTAAAAGAGGAACGAAAGAAAAAAGAGACCAGACAAGATACGGAAACAAAAGAAAAGAAAAACCCTAGATGGATTTTAGAGCGGAGCTCACTCTCTCTGTACTCTACTAGTAGTACAATAGCGCCTTCTTTTCGCTTCTCGTTCTTGCAGTCAATCTTCTTCGAGAGCAGCCTCTTACCCCCTCTCTCTCTCTCTCTCTCTCTCTCTCTCTGCTCAATACTGCGATCTACTGTTTTCGGCGGACTCCGATTCGTTCTCGGTGAGCCTCTCTTTAAACCCTGATTTGGGACTCTTGAATTGCAATTTTGGATTTCGGATTTCAGGTTTTTATATGAGACCCATGGGAAATTAGCGTGTTGTTTTGGATTTCGAAATCTTGGCTTTGGGTTTTTTTTTAATTTGATTGTTTTTATTTTTTTGTCATTCGATTTCAAATTCTGAAACCCTAATTTTGCTCTCTGTTGGTTTTCGTGTTTATGATTTGGTTTTAGGGTTTTTTTTTCCCTGTGAATTAACTTAAAAGGTTATTAATTTTGTGGTAAAGTCACTGTTGTTGTAATTTAATACAATGCAACTAGAAGTTTATCTTTTAATCTAATTTTGGATTGAATGTATGTTTTTTATCTTCTATATTTGATCTTGTTAAGCAACTGGGCTGCATGCTATTTGGTTGATATTTGATTTGAGGGTTTTTCCACAGACCCACCTGCTTTGCAGTTTTTTTTTTCAATTAAATCTACAGTTTTTCCTTTCTGGGCTTTCCTTATTTGCTGTGAAACTTATGAAGGGTTCTCTGCTTTTTCCTTGCTCATGCATGCTGGTTTTGTTTATGATAGGGCACTGCTTGGCTCAGTGCTGCTGGTCATATAAGGTTGATTTTGGTGGTGCCTGACAAGCTGGAAATCTGGGGGTAATCTTCTCGGTTGCTTTCAGCTCATCTCAATGATTGCTGCTGGGAGTGTAGTAATGAAGAAGTTAACGATTAAGATTGCTTCCCAAAGAATTGAAGCTATCCCTGGGAAGAAGTTGCTTGCTGATGAACGGAGTTGCAGTGCTTCTGTGGGTGAGAATCATGGTTCTCGGATGACGAAACAGAAATCTGCTGTGCCAGGTTCTAAGAAGCGTGGTCCACCAGAGACGATAGAGTGTCAACAGCAGAAGAGGCAGAAGATGGACCGTTGTGTGACACAACAGTGTTCTGCCCTTCTAAAATCACTGATGGCTCATCCAGCTGGTTGGGTTTTTAACAGGCCTGTGGATCCAGTAGCACTGAAGATTCCTGATTACTTCACAATTATATCAAATCCTATGGATTTAGGAACAGTAAAGTCCAAGCTGGGAAAGAATTTTTATGCTAGCACTGATGAGTTTGCAGCTAATATCAGACTGACCTTTTCGAATGCTATGCTGTATAATCCTCCGACAAATAATGTCCATAAAATGGCAGCGGAACTAAATGAGATTTTTGAGACAAGGTGGAAAGCTTTGGAGGAAATTTGGAATCATGAAGGACGGAAGTTTGGAAGTGGAAAGATTTCAAGTGGAGGTACAACACAAATTGTTAATGCCAAACAGAATTGTCCCAGAACACCGCCTCTGTGCAGTACTGCTTTGCCAAAGAGGTCAAAACCATCTGAAGAAAAGGTGATAAGGAGCTTGTCCAATGCAAGTGTTATTACAGAAGTAAGTTATTCCTCTGGATTTTGGATGGATTAGCTCTGTAATGAGAAGCTAGAATATGGTTTTAACTGCAAAACAATGATTGATGTATATATTTGTCCAATGTGTTTTGGCTGTTGTAGTATATAATTTCACAGTTTTTTAGTAATTGACGTCTGTTATGTTCTATGTATTTTGGCTTTTTTCTAATATGTGTTACATATTCTTTTAGTAATTCAAGTTTTTATTATTTATGTCTTGTTTATAGGCAAAGCCTACTAAACCAGCAGAGATGCTCAAGTCCCTCGTGCCAAATCCTTACAAAGGTATGAAATGGCTGAGTGTTTCTGCTTTGTGGTTCTAGTATTGAGGTCTAATTAGCAATGCGTCTTATAGGCACTGGTGGTGGCGGTAGACATGCATGCAGCTCTATGAATGTGAAACCATCTCTGATCCCAGTTGCTTCAAACTGTGGTAAATGTGGCAGTAATGCATGTCAATGCAACCTCCGAATTGATTCAACCCATACAAACTCAGGTTGATGGCTCATTTCTTTATTTTCTTCCTTTGCCTCTGTTCTGGTTTCTTGTATTTCTCTGATCATTTTATGTTTTTCCTTGGCTTAGATATATCTTCTGAGAGATCATCTGGGAGAGATCAGCATGAATGTAGTACTGATACCTCAAAACTGGTATATTAACGTGTCCCCCAGGATTTATCCTAGTCTGTCAAAGCGTGCAATTTCTGACCAAGCTGTCTTCAAATTTTGTATTTTTAGGCAAAAAGCATGCCTGTCACACAGATGAGCAAGTCAGATCCAGATTCTGATGGTGAGAAAATTCTCTCGTTTGGTATTTGTAATGTTAAAATGCTTAGCATATGTTTTTCTGACTTTCGTAATGCTGTTGCAACTGATATGTAGGGGCTGTTAGTGCTTTGGATGATGAAAATATGTGTCCCAATTCCCAGCTTACAACAGATGCAGCTTCTGGAGAAGGTTGGCTTACTTGTAATTTCTGAATTAAGTGCTGGTGCTGGTAATTTCACCTGATTTTAATTCTGACATGTATATTTTTTTATTTTATTTTTGTTTGTTTGTTAAAGAGTGGAACTCTCTGTTTGATGTACCACTGTCTCCAACCAAAGCTCTTCGTTATGCAACAATAAAGCATCGATTTGCAGATACCATCCTAAAAGCTCGAAATAAGGCACTGCTTGATAATGTAAGTCTTCTTTGTTAACTTCTCTCTCTCTCTCTCTTTTTTTTTTTTGCTTTGGGTTGGGGGGGGGGGTGTTTAAACTCTTTCGTGTTAGATGATGGTACATTTGCTTGATTTTCATTTGGTCTTTCTTATTGTTAGGGTGATAAAGCTGATCCAATGAAGATGCGGCAGGAGAAGGAAAGATTAGAAAGGCAGCAGCGGGAAGGTGATTTGACCAACTTATTATCTTTCTAAATATAGCAACTTCATGCATTCCGTGTTAGAATTATTGGCTACTTTTAATATAACATGGTTTGCTGATTTGTCAGCATTCAGGCATTGTTTGGATACTTTTAGCTTGTGTGGTCTTTGTTGATTTGCTGTTGAATTTTTCCGATTGTTGTCGTTTTATCTTGAAAGCAATCATGAATACGTTTAGAATTAGATGATTATATTATGTTTTTGTTGATTTGGTGTTGAAAAATTTCCAATTTGGTCGTTATATCCGTATGGTATCACGACTATGTTTGAAAATGGATGATTATATTATCCATCTTTGTTAATTTGGTGTCCTCTTTTTCCAATTTTGGTCCATTATTTTCTGCATGGGATCCATATATATGTTATGTAAATTGCCAAGTTTTCTAAGCACTCTTCTACCTTCTGTGGCATGTCAAATCTTTTTATGTTCATGCCAGTGTCCATCTTTTGTTTTAAATATGTGGACTTTCCTTTATGACAAACAGAGAAGGCTAGGATTGAAGCACAAATCCGAGCTGCTGAAGCTGCCTCACGAAGAAGGGAAGAGATGGAACTGAAAAAGCAACGGGAGAGAGAAAGAGAAGCTGCCCGAATTGCACTGCACAAGGTTTACTTGCTAACTTGTATTTCACAATTGAATTTGTAGATTTGGATTCTTCTGATTGCTGTTGCTTGAAATTGCCTGACCTGTTGCTTTTGGTTGCCACTGCAGATGGAGAAAACTGCTGAGATTGAACAGAACCTAGACATTCTGAAAGAACTGGAGAGGCTCTGTGGCTGTTCAATATCATTCAATTTCCATTTTGGCAGCGGAAGAATGAAAATGATAAAGGGAGAAATTGAAGCTTGCATTGGTAGCCCACTTGAGAGGTTGGGTTTGTTTATAAAAGATGACATTGAAGACGTGGATGATGAGGAGTTTCTGGATGAAGATGGAGAGGAAGGAGAGATACTCTGTTAAAAGCTTGGCAGATTTCTCTGTTTTTATTAACATCTTCAAGGGAAACGTTGGGTGTAAATGCATTAATTTTGTAGGGGGTTAGAGTGATGATCATTGTAACTTAGAGCTAGTAGTAATTATAGGGGTTCGAGACAAGAGTTTTATGGTCAACTCACTATTCGTCTCTCTTTAGTCTTGAGAGCGCTTGTAAATGATTTTTTATTTTTATTTTTTATCTTGCGTTGTTACCAAGGTATGAACTACCATATGTACATATTTATACGTATATTTATCCATCTATATATATTATACACTTGAGCAATTGAGTAGCTATGCTGAGAGTTTCTTCTGTGTTATTGATAGGTCAAGATATGTATCCATCTCAATCTGTTCTGACCATGAACTTCCCAATTTAAAGCAGGAATTTGTTAGTGACGAAGCAATTAGCCATGGACGGTAGTCGAGTGAAAAACTAATGTAAACTAGGCAAGAGGTATGGGAAAACTGAAGAAAAATAATAAAATAAGTCCTGGATAAATGCTGATTCCTGTTGGATTATGTTGCATGTGAATGAAAAAAAAAAAAAAAAAAAACTATTGTCATGAACTTTGGACTAATTGCTGTACCAAAGCAAAACCATTTGAAAATTACTCACTATACATATATTTTGTTTCTTTGATAATTAGTGGTTGGCTTTGAACATTACGAAAGCGAAGGATGATGTGTCTTATACCTGCTGCTGCTACTGGACTTATAATGTTCATTCAAAAGATAGGCCTTACTACTAGAATTTAGAGCAAATAAATCCTAAACCTTAATTTAGTCCTAAATTTATATATTTTTTAATTATATTTATAAAAATAAATGATAGTATTAGTCTCAAATAATGTGACAAAAAATAACTAATACTATTGATTTTCAATAATATTACTAAAAGTAGATTCATATTTGATCAATTTAATAAATAAGTTAATCATATTTAATATTGTATACCAAATCTATTTACTATTAATTTATTTGCATATCGGCTTTAGAGCAAGAGCTGACCCATCAAGAGTCCTACACGCCATGCTACAAATACAGTTCTTATTAGCTATCATTTCAAGTCTAACCAGTTTTGCTTTAAATGGAATCAACAATTAGCGGAAGAAAACAACACATGATAATCCCTCGATCCGTTCTACAAATAGAATCATACTTTCTATTTTTGACTGTCCTAAAATAAATATCCCTTCAGCAAATGTCAAAAGATCAATTATACAATTTCTCTTTTATACCCCTCGTTAATGCCAATTTTTTTTCCTTTTACCATAACCATCTTTACCTTTTCTCTCTCTGTTTTTTTTTTTTTAAGGAGTAATCTTACAAGTTTGCTACAAAATAAGTGACATGACTTTACATTTGTTGTCTTTTCTTAATCTGTGTAAAATGATTAGTGAGTACCAACTCTCTCTCTATGAGACGGAATTTCATAACTACAAATTACTGCAAGCACCCGATTAACCTCCAGGCCTAATAATGACAAGTGTTATGACAAGAAACTGATTGCTTGCTATAGTGCCATACCCCACCCCCCGAAAAAAAAAAAGAAGTTTCTTGAAGTATTGGCCGACAGTAGCATTTTTGTAAGGAGTTGCTGATTTGGAGGTTAATCGGGTGCTTGCACGTGTCTCTGCAGAACCAGTTCCATTAGGTCAAACTTGGAACCTGACGTTTCTAACAAGATAATACACTCGGTTAGGGCAGTTTATGCCTATTTCCAATTTCCAATATGTCAAATCATTTCTAACTTCGGATTCAAAGTAAACTCAAAACAGGAACTAAAATTATTAAGAAACTGAAGTTTCAAATGAAGTTGGCGTAGTACAACTAAAATTATAGCAGATCATGTAAAGCCAAAAGTTCCGGAGTCCTAATATAGTCTAGGACTCCTATTGCTAATATAGCCCAAGACACCTATTGCTGCTGAGTCCTCCATTATGAAAGCATTTTCATCCACCTACCATGCACCGATCAAGAAAAGACTATACAAGTCATATACTGTAGCGATTCTTGGCAGCTCTTTCGAGTTTCTTTGCATCATCCTGAAAGTACAGTTCAAAACAGGAACTCAAAATCTTCCACTGTGCAAAACAACTAAAAGCAATTGGTATCGGACAATATACATGCATAAAAAGCGAAGTCCTTACATGGAATATAAACCCCATAGGGCCATTGTAATCGAGAAACTCCTTCCATTGTTTTCCAATGCTCAGCTGCAAGAAGAAAGTTCACCAGAGATTTATCCAATCAGAAAATTCGAGTAGTTAATGACTTTATCTTCATGTAATTTATAACACCACAAGTTCCGAAGCTCTGAAAACAACTCATTCTGTTAAACCATTCAACTATATGATTTATTTCTCAAATAAACACAGTTTTCTATTGCAGTTGCCACTATTTTTACAATCTTCTGCCGATGGCTGAATAAAGTCAAAAACTCGAAGCTCTAAAAGCAAGAATAAAAGTTGACATATTCAAAGATGAAGCAGCTATCATGTTCTATTCATTTGATAACTGAATTTGACTGGGTCAGACTGCATTCATCAATTTGCTTTAAAGGTGAGCAAGTAAGCACCCATATGCAACCCCAAATGAAATGCAGAGGCAACCATTTGGTCACATATGGGCAATCTTCATTAAAAATGTAATGTAGGCCAAAACCAACCACTCCCTGGACTGTAAGCAATCAAAATACGATGCTGGGATTAGAACAATACATGAGAGCCAGCACCTACAAGCTCCAACATGAAATAGCATCTAGGTTGTGATACCCAAACTATTTAGCACTACCATACACCAATGAGCAAGTCATTGCTCACACAATTGTCACATGAGTGTGAGAGACACTTGACGCAAATGTATCTGCAAACTTGAAAGCACCAATACAGGGGGTTACTGATTTAGATTCATGAGCTTTATCCCAAGTCATTGACTAACTCATGATGATAAACAGCCACAGCTGCATCTTGATGAGAATGTCATCACCAAGGAGGGCGTATTCCAGAAATGATGCTGGGTTTCCTCCTCACCAGTTTAATTCTGGCTTTGATTTATTGTCACTAGTGCAGGCCGCAAAGTGACACAAAGATCCAAGTAAATGCCACCTCCAAACAGAATTCTTCCTACATGTGATTTTGTTTCCTTTATTTTGTCTTATTGGAAACCAATGGTAGTGTACAGGAAAATAAGGAATATCATGCTTGAAAGTAATGCATCACGGCGCTACATTTATTCACAGAGAAAGAACCTAAGAAGTGATAATCTGTAGTAGTATCCACAAGAATGAAAAAGTTGCCCGTTCTATACTATCTCCATGAAGAATGCAAATCATTGCAATTTACGATCAAAAGCAAAGAGTCCCTTATATATGTACAATCATCTTTTTCTTTTCATAGCACTTACCTGAGCAGCTTCATTTGAAGCATTCTTAGTCCAAAGAGCAATCTTATCCTGCTTAGCCCTCACACTGACAACTGCTCCACAAATTTCATCTCCATGATCAAACTGCTCTCCAATCATTGCCAACAACTAACAAAAAGAAGTGAACAAACAAAATAAGCAGCCAAGTAAAACCACAGTCAGGGAAAAAGCAATACTTCCATCTGAACAACATTGAAACATACCGTATTCAACCAAGAAGTATCAGATTTGCCTTTAGGAAAAATTACAGTCCACTTCCCTCCGTTAACACAAACAGGGTCCTCCCATTTTGGCTCAATTTTATCTTTGAAGCAATGAAAGTCTGCTCCAACAGCCAGCATGCTTGGGTGATGTATATTATTGTAAACACTGAATGAAGCACAAAATATATCTTGTCAACACATTAATCAAAACTAATTTCCATTACGTCACTAACAAAACTAATAATATCGATAGAAAAAAAAATCGTAATTCAAGCAACCAACTTAAACAAAAGGACACTAAAAAGCCAACAACAAAAGATAACAACTTTCTCTAGTAATAGGAATTCACTACAATTACAGAGAAAAATCATTCACATTAGTCACAAAGAAAGCAACGACAAAGTGAGAAAAGACCCCATAATTGAAGCAGTCAGCATTAAAAACCTAATCACGAAAGGCTACTTTCTCTAATTACATGTGAATTTCAGATCTATAGGATGTATAACCAATTTCTTATTAAACCCAAACCAGATCAATTATTTCTCAAACGAAAACACAAAGGGAGCTCAAAAAGAAAAAAAAATCGCCAAATTTCTACTTAACAAAACCCAAATCCAATTTCCGTTTAATTCTTTTACCTAGCAATTAAAGATGAAGAAAACAAGCCAAGAAAATCAAGAAACACAAAAAAGAAAAGAAAGGGACACCTCCAAAACTCCTCAACAGTAGCAAAAGTGAAGATGGAGCGCATTGCGCTACCCCAGGTGGCTTGTTTGGATTTGGCAGATGGATTATCAAACCAGAAAGTCCATTGATGTTCAAGTGGGTGTGACTGATTAGGTAAAGAAAGTGATCTCTTGGACGACGAGTCGTCATCTCCTCCAGCAGCTATCTCTCCTTCTTCTAGATCATCATCGGCATTAGGGTTTGGGGTTTCTTCTTTTGTTGATTTTTGAGGGTCTTCAACAACCATTTTTCTTTTCTTTGAGAGTTTTTTTTTTTTTTTTTCGTGTTCCCGTCGTTCTGGGGTAGGTTTAATATCACAGAGTCACCGAGACGCCTAGGTCCTAGCGCGCCATCACACGCGCGCGCACGCGGTAATCAGATGAATGGCATCCTGTATTCCATTTCAGAGTAAACTAATTTTTTTTTAACCGTGATATGCCACTCAATCTAATAAAATATATAAAATTATTTTTATTTAAAATTTTATTTTATATTAAATAAAATTAAATAAAAATTTATTTAATTTATTTAATTTTATATTTGAAGTTTCATTTTATATTGTCCCTTTATTAAAATATATTAAATTAAAATTAAATAAAAATTTATTTAATTTTATATTTGATTAATTATTTTTTATATTTTTGTAAATTTTTTATTCAAAAATATTTTTTATTTACCTCTATTTATATTTTTAGCTAAAAAATTAATTTGTAAATTTTTTTTGTCAAATATCTTTTTTTCTTAAAATATTTAATTAAAAAATAAAAAAAGGATCAAAGTGATCAAAATGAAACAAAAAAGAGGATCTAAAATAAAACAAAAAAAATCATGAAATTAAAAAATATATATATTTTTTAAAAGGATCAAAATGTAAGGTTACGAAAACTTTCACTAGAAATGTTTTTAAAAAATTTAAAAACTACAAAATGTCACTGCATAGTAAAAAAATAGTGCATAAAAATTTGTGTGAATAGTTCATATGAGTCTGGATAAATAGTATTTGGAAAAGTAATGAATAGTAAACTAACGTTTTGGTTAAGTTTTTTTTATTAATTATAAAATAGTCTAATCTTTTTCTTGAAATGAATGAATTATTTTTTATTTTAAAATTAATTATTTAATCATTTAGTTAGTGTTATTCATACTTAATTTAATATTACTTTATTTAAAAAAAAATATATTTTTACATGAACCCTTTTATATTTTTACATATTTTTTATTTCTTACAAAATAAAAATAAATTGAAAAAAATAATAACTAAAAAAATTATAAGAAAATTTAAAATATAAGGATTAAATATTTAGTTTTTAAAACAAGAAAAAAATTATTAATTAACTCTTCCTTTTTACTACTACAATTTTGAATACTTTATTATTTTTAATATATATATATATATATAGAATGCCTTATTTCCTCACTAGATTTGTTCCTAAATAATAATTTCTTCTCTAAAAAGAATTTTTTAGGAAGAAAATATGCAAAGATGGTGTGTTATTCTATTTCTCACTCAAAAAGTGCTAATTTTATATAAAAAAAATGATTTTTAGAGAACTAAATCACCCTTAATTTATATATATATATATAATTTTTTTTATAATTGATGATATTAAAAATAAATAAATAAAATTTAAACCAAGAATGCGGGGAGAGAGTATTTTCTTAGTCTTTCCTTTTAAAAGAATTAATATATTCATATGCTTTTGATATATATATATATACTTATTTATTTTTCAATAAAAATAGTAATTTATTAAACAAATAATTCATACAAAAAAAGGACGCAATGATATAAAAAATTAAGACATAACTACAACTTACAACTTGCTCGTAAGAAAATAATTTGGTAAAATCCTTTATAATAATGGAGGATAATAATTTCTCAAATAGCATATAGTCTCTTCATTTTTTAAATTTCATGTGTTTTGATAACTTTTGAAATAAACGTTAGCAATTAGTAGTTAAATAGGTGAAAAAAATCATATTACTGCAACAAAAAATTAGATTAGTATCACTATAAAGATAAGAGGATATTGTAGTCTCTTTCTATAGCAAATTATTTTTTAAATTTAAATTAATTAACAGAATTGTATTATCATGATATAAATTTAATTGACCACTATTATAAAGATAAAATACTACTTTAATCTCTTTTTATAATGAAATATTTTTAAAATTCAAATACATTAGAAAAAGAATCTAAACATGTAATCTCTTACAAATATAAAATACTCATGCCATTATATTAGAATTTATTGGTAATGAATTTGAAATTTATTGCTGCAGATTAGAGATTATTGCGTTTAAGAGTATCTTAACGAATTGCGATATTATATACGAGAAAAATTATGTCTCCTACCTCATTTAGAATTTCCTACGATTTATGGCATCGATGTTGTTCGTGACATCACAATGTTCACAAGGCAACCATATTCCTAACAATATTAGGCTTGGATCTATCAGGCAAAAAAATACATTACTTGCTACTAAGTACTACCAATGAGTGATATTTAATTCTAACTATGGTTATAATTCCAACTGCATATTGTTACTTCTCCAATTCTAATAATAATTTACAATACTTTTCATTTAGTCTCACCTTTCTTTTTAAGCCTTTGACATTTACTTAGTGTTTGAAGTAATTGGTCTATTTGTTTTGTCAAATAATCCAGAAGAAATCGGTTTTGATATGTTAAAAGAGGTGAAAAATTGATTTTTGGATCCATAGTTTGTAAATAGAGATATACTTTTAGCTGATTTTTAGTGTATAAAACTAAAACACACACACATATATAAGTGTAGCCATATAAACATGAAGCCAAAGGAAGGGAATTCGATAGAAATGTGCTAACAATCACAAGCGAGAGGAGAATTCTAGAATAAAGGTTTAATACAATAAGTGGTCAACTAGCAAATGTTCAAAAAGATAAATACATAACAATTTTCAAGTCCTCACTTAAACTTAACAACCAACTAGCTAAAATGAAAAAAGTCTAATCCCTTTACAAGAATATGCTCAAGGCGTATCGATTGCATCTTCAACGTTCAAGGAGGCTTTGTAAGCTAAAAACTCCTCACCTATTCCATAAGACAAAACATGAGATAATGCCAAATAAGTATGATCATGCATAATATTTTTTAAACTTCCATGATGTATGTGAATAAATTTTTTCTTAATGTAGGCATCTTACTAGATGTTATGTCTAGTCCTCTTTTTGTTTATCAAAACTACGTTTTTACTAAACTTTGCTTTTACCATTTGCCTTTACCAAAACCTTTGCCTTTCATGCATAACAAGATTCCAATGCATTTCATGAAGTATGTAAATCTATACTCATGGTGTAAATGCAAATAAAATGTACCTAAATACCTATTTAATCACATAACATATTCACAAATAAAGTCATTGTGGTGAGTTGAACCATACTTACCTTAGTTCCTTTACAATTCAATAATTATGCTACTCAAGCAATTAAATTCCTACCATTAAAACAATTCACAATAAATCTTTTATTTAAATCAATAAACTCATAAACGGACTCCTTACTCAACAATTAACTAATAAATCCCAAAATTCATATTTTACTATTCATCATCTTCAACTTTTTCAAAAATATTTTAATCATCACAAGAACACTTCCATAAATCACATATTCAACCTTTTCAAAATACTTTACCATAACAAAAATACTTTCATAAATCATATACTAAAGTTTCAACTTAATCTAAACTATACAACATCGTATATATATATATAAAATCTCAATTTAATCCATTAAATCTTAAATAATTCATATAATAAAATTAACTTCATACATCATTAACTTAAGATAATTAATCATAATCTAAGTAATTAAAATCACTTAATTGTTTTTTTTCTCAAATAGGTGTCCAAACCCTAACTTTATCAATCTTAAGTTAAATGGCAAACCCATCACAATCCAATCTCATAATCATTAATAATCATCTAAGAATATATCAAATAACCAAAAATCATAGTAGAAACCATACCTTTCTTGGAGGATTTGAATTTCAAATTCAAGAATACCAACTCTTGAAACTTCAATCTTGCTTAATATTAACTTGTTTCATAAAAAATTAACATAATCTAATATTTTTTTAGTGGTGGGATAAGTTAGAAATGAGTGAGAGATGGTGAAACTGAAGTTGGAGGATTAAATTTTTAGAGGGGGAGTAAGACGGATGAAGAAAAATGGGAAAAATGACTAATTCTTGTTTGTTTTTTCACCCCTTCAACAATAGTCCGCCCTCCTTTTTTTTTCTCAACACATTAATTCACCTTAAAACTCACTTTATTCTCACTTCTAGTCTTCCATTTAAGACTAAAAAACTTCCATTTCTTTGATCCATCTCGATTAATAAATTTAATCAAACTTAACCAAATCTAATTACCTTATTTTTTCCTAATCTCATAACACATATAATCTAAAACACCTTATATAATAAAAACAATTAAAAGATATCAATCATATGCATAAAATGAGAATGAAATTAAGATACACACAAGCATACACATCATAATATGAAGAAATCCTCCCCTTCTTATAAAAATTTCATCCTCAAAATTTACTCACTAAAAAGTCTCTAATACTTAGTCCTCATCTCTTTTTCCTTTTCCTATGTAGCTTTTGTGACACTTTGATTTATCCACAATACCTATATCAAAGTAATCTCTTTGTTCCTTAGCTTTTTAATCTTTTGATCTAAAATCTTAATTGACCTTTCTTAATTTATAGTTCAAATCTGCAGCTAACTCCAAAGGTTCAAAACTCAACGCATGATTTGGATCCTCAAGGTACTTCCTTTATATAGAAACATAGAACACATTATGAACTTTACCTAAAGTTGGAGGAAGGGCTAATCGATAAGCTCTATCTCTAACTCTATCTAAAATTTTAAATGATTTAATAAACCTCGAGGCTTAATTTCTTTTTCTTCCCAAGCCTCATAACCCCTTTCATTTTTGCAACTTTAAGAACACATGATCACCGATCTCAAACTCCAAATCCTTTATTCTTTTATTAGCATAGCATTTTTACCTACTTTGTGCCATCTTAATCCTCAATTGAATCTTCTCCACCATATTTTTTGTTTGTCAAACTAACTCAAGTTTTAATATCTTCATTTCACCAATATCATCCCAAAGAATAAACGACCTACACTTCCTCCCATGCAACGCCTCATATGGTGGTATCCCAGTGGTAGCTTGATATCTATTATTGTAAGAAA